GCCCATCATTGGAGAACCCTTTTCCCGCATAGCCGTTGACATTGTGGGTCCACTGGCCAGGGCTAGCCCATCAGGTAAGAAGTATATTCTCACCATGGTGGACTATGCCACACGTTATCCAGAGGCAGTAGCGCTGTCTAATATAGAGGCAGAGACGGTTGCTGATGCCCTGGTTAAAATTTTCACTAGGGTCGGGTTCCCTCAGGAGATTCTCTCCGATCAAGGAACCCAGTTCACCGCTGTGCTTACCCAGCAGCTGTGGAAGGTGTGCGGTATTAAACCTCTGCTTAGCTCACCGTATCACCCACAGACTAACGGTCTCTGCGAGCGATTTAATGGCACCCTCAAACAGATGTTGATGACCTTTACTGACACTTGCAGAGATTGGGAGCGATTCCTGCCTCATCTGCTATTTGCATACAGGGAGGTGCCCCAGGAATCTACTGGGTTCTCCCCCTTTGAGTTACTCTATGGGAGAAGGGTCCGTGGACCCCTAGATCTCATTAGAGGACACTGGGAGGGGGAGACAGAGCAAGAAGGGACTCCCATAGTGCCATATGTCCTGGAACTCCGGGATCGCATGGAGAAACTATCCCTGATGGTCAGGGAGAATCTCCAGGTGGCCCAGGGGAGACAGAAACGGTGGTACGATCGGGGTGCCCGACAGCGGGTCTTCCAGGTTGGGCAGAAGGTTCTGGTACTCAAGCCTGTGAAGACAAACAAGATGCAAGCATCTTGGCAGGGCCCGTATAAAGTGTTAGCTCAGGTGTGTGATACTACCTACCTTATAGCCAGCTGTTCAGATAAAAGGATTCAGCCATCCTTCCATGTGAACATGCTGAAGGAGTATCAGGAACGACCAGAGGATGTTGCGGCAGTATGTGCCCCAGCTACTGACGACTCCGAGAACTTACCTTTACCTGACTTGTTAGAGAGGGATCCCCAGACAGACCTTACTAGTCTTGTACAGCTGGGGGACCGGCTAAACCCGGTGGAGAAGGTACAGGCGAGACAGTTACTGTGGGAGAAGCAGGCGACGTTCTCCCAAGAACCCGGGTACACTACCCTAGCTGTACACAAGGTCGAGACACCCGGACAGAACCCTCTACGACAACCCCCATACCGTATCCCTGAAGCAGTCCGAGAAGGAATGCGGACGGAGATACAGGAGATGACCAGGCTGGGGGTTATCGAACATTCGGACAGTCCTTGGGCCTCGCCTGTAGTTCTGGTGCCTAAGAAAGATGGGACCACCCGGTTCTGTGTGGACTACAGGCGGCTCAACGAGCGGACCACCACTGATGCCTACCCTATGCCCCGGGTAGACGAGTTATTAGACCGCATTGCCAGGGGGCGCTACCTGACCACCATTGACCTGTGTAAAGGTTATTGGCAGATCCCCCTGGCCGAGAATGCTATCCCTAAGTCGGCATTCGTCACCCCATTTGGCCTATACCAGTTCAAGGTTATGCCATTTGGGATGAAGAATGCTCCGGCTACGTTCCAGCGTATGGTAGATAGGCTCCTCGATGGCTTCCAGGACTTTGCATGTGCATACCTGGATGACATTGCGGTCTACAGTGAGTCCTGGGAAGACCATTTAGTACACGCGGGGGTGGTGCTGGACAAGATTCGGGCCGCAGGCCTGACCTTGAAGCCAGACAAGTGCCATCTAGGCATGGCAGAAGTACAGTACTTGGGTCACAGAGTAGGCTGTGGGAGCCAGAGACCGGAGCCAGCTAAGGTAGAGGCGGTGGCTAACTGGCCCACACCTATCACTAAGACCCAAGTGCTGGCCTTCTTGGGGACGGCAGGGTATTACCGACGTTTTTTCCCTGACTACAGTACGGTTGCTAAGCCTTTGACTGACCTGACTAAGAAGAATTTGCCTAAGCAGGTCCTGTGGTCTCCAGCTTGTGAAACCGCGTTTCAAGCACTTAAGCAGGCTCTTGTTAATGCCCCTGTCCTGGCTGCCCCAGTCCCTAACAAACGTTTTCTTGTACATACAGATGCTTCCATGTATGGACTGGGGGCTGTGCTAAGCCAGGTCGGGGAAGATGGAGGAGAGCACCCTGTCGCATACTTAAGCAGAAAGTTACTACCCCGGGAAGTAAGTTATGCGGCAGTGGAGAAAGAGTGTCTAGCCCTGGTCTGGGCACTGAAGAAATTGAGCCCTTATTTATACGACAAGAATTTTCCCTTATTACGGACCATAACCCCTTGTCTGGCTTAACCGGGTCTCAGGAGACAATGGCAGACTGCTGAGGTGGAGTTTGGCACTACAGCCTTACAACTTCACCATCAGCTACCGACCCGGTAAGCAGAATGGGAACGCGGATGGGTTGTCCCGGCAAACAGACGTCCCTACTCCTTCCCAGTCCGGTCATCCCCAAGTTGACCTGCCAAAGGGTCAAGCCGGGTCTGCCGGAGTGTTCCACAAGGGGGAGCCGTGTGACAGACCCATC